AGTGTGTGTGTGTGTGTGTGTGTGTGTGTGTGTGTGTGTGTGTGTGTGTGTGTGTGACAGGGATGGCCCCCATCCTGAAGCTCGGAAGAGGGAGGGGGGCAAAGTAAGTTTCTTCAAGACATTTCTAGTCAGGTCAGATTAAAAAAAAAAGCGAATTATGACGTAGTGTAAAACTCCTCCAGCTGAAATGGGTGGGGGGGGGGGCTATCCAAAGTCAGTCTTCTTTCCCAAGATATTTTGTTGAATGACACTCCTGCTACATAGGACTTAACACAATAAATGAAACGAAGTTGTATTACGTGTTTAATGTTATAAATGGAAAAGAAAAATGTTTCGTTACTTTTACATTACAGTGTATTTGGAATTTAACAGGCTCTCTTGAAAAAATGTTGAAAATAAAAATATCGTTTTATTACAGCCAAGATAGCTTTTTTTTTTTAACCTTATAAAAAATCCTTCTTGTTGAATATGGAAATAAATAGTGGACTAACGTACACATATTACAAACGTGCATGATAATGTGTAAAACACTGTAGAAGAAAATAAACCACCCGATGAGCTTGTGGAAATAGACAGCCTGGTCTATAGGAAGAAACACCGAGAACCCTCGTTCTCGGAGACACGCGAGTAATTGTCGTAGCACAGGCAACACAATGAACATACAGTTGAAGTTCAGGCACAGACCTGCAAATAAATGAAACGTTTCTCAACCTCAATCACAGGATAACTCTTCTATCTGGTAACGACAGAACAGACTCAACTGGCAAACATACACACTATTAACGATATAAAAGGTTTCAGTTTTGGTTTAGAATTTACAGTTCCTTTTACCTAAATTACAATTAACACAAAATAAAGACTAGTTATATTCAAAAACAAGGTAGCACATTTAAAATAAAACTGATAACTATAATTCACTTGCTTAGTCTGATTCATACTCTAACAAAGTTCTTGTTCTTGAGAACTGATTATATAAATAGTTCCTAGACTATCAGCTAGCCTGATGACTCTTGGTATTGACGGAAAGGCCTTGTCAGCATAGGAGATGGCAAATACAGAATGGTTGAAATAGCATATTCTTTGTTGCTCTCATTCACGAGTTCTTGTAATTCTCCATTTTTGTTCAATACGAAATAGCTTACTCAAATTAAGTTTAGAATCAAAACTGCTCCCCCTTAGTTTTATCCAAACACAAAACATCTCCCCCAGCGATATTATATAAAAGTCGTAGAAACTAGTTGCAGTTCAGCCATAAATGTTTATTTAAAGACCAGCAATATGTGTAGAGCAGAGAATACAATTATTATTTAAATTATATTCCTTATTTTTTCATTTATTCACAAGCTTCTATTGATTGCCAAGAATGAGAGACAGGGAAAGAAGTGTATGGATGGTTAGGGTGGAACAGTGTCAAAGTGCAGCAACGGTAAGGAAACATGGGTGAAACCAACTGATTGGCCGATGATAGAATACGCGATAGATCTGGATTACTAACAATTCGTGTATAACAAGTGACAATGTCATCACAAGCTCCCGTTCGAGGCTGCCGAAGATTTGCAGTGGAATTGTTTTATTCTTTAATATAAAAGATACTTATGGTACAACCTAACGGTTTCTTTTCATATATTTATGCAAATCTACCCAAGGACACCACTTGCGCTAGCCACCCATAATGTTGAATTGATAGACTAGAGGGAAAGCAACACCCATCGCCAACCCTTGTGCTACTCCTGTCTGTCCGAATAGTGGGATATAACCGTCACTTTTATAACGTGCCCATGGCCCCGAACGCGGACAAAAAACCCGCAGATCCATAGTCCGGCGCGTTTATCACTGGTTTCATAATTTTAAGAACTGAATCCTTAATACAAAATAAATTTAATTAAGTAACACAACTCTCTTGTACTAAGTATCAATCAATCGACTACGCTACTAAAAATGCATTTGAACACGTTTTACCCACCACTCGCTCGAGCCAACGCCTCGAAAATGTGTTTCTTTGGTAATGTTTCTGCACTCTTACGTTCGCTGCTCATAAATATATCAAAACTCGGAATAGGCTGATTGAACAGCTTCGTAAGCATGTCTCCCGGAGACTCCTCCGTCTTCATCATCTGAACGCTCTGCGTCACAAAAAGAGTAATATTGATCGCAAGGTAGACCAATAGAAAAGCAACACTGACGCTGTTGTTACGTATATATTGCCACGTCAGCATCCGAGGTAAACAATCTTTGAGACGATTCATTAGAGATCTTCGAAGGGGTGGCAAGAGCCATTTCTCCACACTCAGAAAGAGAAAAAGAAATATTAATATATATATATTTTTTTACACAGCTTATTATTACGAAACCAAAATATGTAAAACCGAAAATATGATATCATTCACAATGTTATCTGCATCTAATTGTGTGTTATTGGTAATTTAAGACATTTATTTAATTCTCTTCACAACTACCACAGGTGTGTGACATTACTCCTGTACCTGATTGACAAGTTCTCAGTCAGACCAGGGTATCGCTCTAATTGGGTTCGAAATTCTTGAAAAGAGATTGACCCACTGTGATCAACGTCGGCTTTTTCAAATAAAGTGCCGGTCAGGTCTTCTATCTGGTCATTAGTAAAGCTCAGACCATTTTCCTGCATACACGCCTTGACTACAGTGTATAATTCGGCTCTCTCAAGGAATCCGTCACCTGGAGGGAGAGAATGCCAGAATATTAGATAATCTGTTCTAATCTAACGCTAGTTACTTTTAGAAATAACAGATCATATTTGTGTTCAGTTTGACTCTGGTAGCTCTCCGTTCTTAGAAACGAGAGATGCTCGTGTCGCGTCTGGTAGCTCTCCGTTCTTAGAAACGAGAGATGCTCGTGTCGCGTCTGGTAGCTCTCCGTTCTTAGAACCGAGAGATGCTCGTGTCGCGTCTGGTAGCTCTCCGTTCTTAGAACCGAGAGATGCTCGTGTCGCGTCTGGTAGCTCTCCGTTCTTAGAACAATAGATCATTGTGTGTTGTGTCTGGTAGCTCTCTGTTCTTAGAACAAGAGATCATTGTGTTGTGTCTGGTAGCTCTCTGTTCTCAGACCAAGATATTGTGTTGTGTCCTACGCTCGTCTCGTTATTGTCAAAGTAACAGATACTTGAGTTGTGGACTGATGCTGATTATTCTCAGAAATGTTCCGTTAGATAAATGTGTAAAACAAATGGGGTAAATTTGCTTAAGATCTGTGAGAGTTCAAGGCTGGATCAAAGATTTTTTGTTAACTATGGTAGTTGGCATTACAACGTGTCGTACTATTCCTTTTACAAAATAAAATGAATTTATATGTAAACCATGCAGTGTATGTTTAGCCTGATGCTGTAATACACTACACCACTGGAGAAAGATCGTTTACTCTCTGCAAATGCTAGAATTAGGATTTGAATATTTATTTAAATAGCTGAAACTGATTTCAATCATTTAACATGCACTGTTTTTCTCGGAATTCTACAAACAAGATTTGTAATACAAATATTTGACACACTCAGTAATATCGAAAGAGCTTCTCACCGTCTATATCATAGATGTCGAATACGACCTTCAGTTTTTCTTCTGGACCCTGTTGGGCGAATTTCTTAATCCCACTTAGAAACTCTTCGAGAGACACTGACCCAGAGTTGTCAGTATCATATAGCTTGAACATACGCTCGCTGAAGAACGTCTTCAAAGCATACAAAAGAAACAGCTTACAAGAAGTCGACTAGAAATGCGTTAACAAAATCAAGACATAGCTACACAAGAAATTCATTTTATTCTGTAGAAGTGAAAACAAACTTATACCATTCAAAACGTGGCAGTTTAGTTGGCTAAGACATTGCCTGAATCGCGAGTTCGAATCCTACCGGAACTAAGCTTTCACTCCTTCTGAAAAACTGAACTTCACAGGCTGATATCACATTTTAAAACTTTTTACAGGTCACGAAATATCGATTCTCCAAATGAATACGAATGTACTGTTAGCATTGCTTCTCCTCTGCTTCTTTTTGTTTTTAAATATAACAGAGTTTTAAAGAAATTCTTAAGAAACAATGCTAAATGCTTTGAGAGAACAATATACAATGCTTTGGTAGAAACAATAAGAAATAATTTACCCTACCAAAGATTTTTCAAAAAGGCATAACTGGCACCAACTTAAACTTTATGGTAGAAAGAGGTTAGATTGTAGGGTTTACGACTTCGAACAAACCGAGTTTTTCAGTCAAGACTTCCGTGAATTTTAACACGTCCCTCAGGAGCCAAGGGGTCTTTACCTACAATATGTTGAATATTAAAAGTTCAATCCGGAAACTCCCAAAGAGGGTGGTTTTGGACGTATCTTTTTCGAGACAACTTCGACACAAGTTTTCTTTTGTTAACTGATAATTTTTTAAGTGAAATACAGCATCCCCAAGTCTCCATACTAGTTAGTACTAAGGTCTACCCGTTGGGAGTAAATTCAGTATATATCAATAAAGCCACATTCTCAGCATCATTAATTAAGCAATTACCAACCTTTTATGCTTCTGCTATCACCTTTTTATGATTAGCTTTCAATGGAGATGCGAACGATTTCCCCTGGATTCGGTAGGGAAGGTCAAAGCATTACGATAGTCAGCAATAGGACGAGCAGACAGGAACACTTTGAAAGCAGCTACAGGCATAATCTTATACTCAGCTTGCTGCACAATATCTACCAAGGTGGTTCTAAACGGTTACTGAATACTTCCATGCTTCTTGTGCTTGGCTGTTAAGCTTGTGATGCGCTAACGGATTTCAGTCACCTCACCACTTCAAATCATTTTTTGCAGCCCCAACAATAAAAGAGTGGGCAAATGCCTTATTTTTAGCTAATATCAGTTCAAATGAAGAAAAACCGGATTGGGTAGTTGTTTTTGAACAAAAATGTCCCCCCACTGGCTCGCGAGGGGCATGTTAAAAACGAGTTTTCAACTATAAATAATAATAAATACAAATCCTAATTATACCACGAAACCAACGCTAAAACATGAAGCAACACTTACGTTCTTCGACTGGACGATTTCCTTGAACTGGTCAAGTTGTAGCTCCTGGTTGTCTCCAACATGTTGCCTGAACACTTCTTCAAAGTGGGCCAGGTTTCTAGGAGTAAGGCCATGTTTGTATCTACCCCCGTAAAGGAAGATTGCTTATTATATGTCGAAATAATTTTCCTTCAAATTTATAAGCTACAGAACTAAAAAAAAAAAAGGATTATCACTAAGGATTAGCAACTTTTATATAACTGATGCAACTGTAAGTTTATTTTTTGTAAATAAGAGCCTTCCATTTGATTTTTTTATGGTACCACCTTTTTCCGAATTAAAAGAGAGGGGGG